CCCCCTAGACTTTTTTTTTCGCTGTTGTCACATCTCACTGCTTGTTTGGACAAGTCCTGGTGCTGTTTTGGGATAGATCCCGTCTGGAACAAAGATCAGACCCAAACCTAAAACCTGTTCTGCAACATTCTCTTTATTAGGAAAACAAGTACACTGTTGTACAGCGTGCTCTTGATGCAATCCTTCCCTGAGCTCTGGAGCCAGAGAGTTCAGATGGCGAGGCAGGAGTGCAGTAAAGGGAACAGAAGGGGCTTTCAAAACGAGCCTTGTGATGCCAACCCCAGGCCCCTCTTGTTAACTGCGTACAGCTCCTTCGCCATCAGTCAGCACGGGTTTATCTTTGAAAGTGAAGTCGTGCTGCTCATAAGCATATGTTCTTACATATTCACATGTTAATTCTTACACTGTTAAAGACGGAAGAGAAATTAAAAACAAACAAAGCCCTATTCCATTTGGTCTGGTCTGAATTACAGTCAGACCCTGATATTAACTTCCTAATTAAATAATAAACATTCCTGAGTAAATAACTTGCATTACCGTCAGCACTATTCCCACAACTTTCATTTCAGACAATTTTATGCATTAGAGTTTCTCGTGAAGCAATCTGTTGCCTGAGGCTGTGGCCGCTGCAGAGCGGAGGAGAGCTGCCCAGTCTGCCAGCAGAATACACCAACGCAAGCTACGAGACAGCGTGACGCAGCCAGCGGGTCACCACGAAGGGAGGCAAGGTGGGGACGATGCCTTCACAGAGCTGTACTAGCTGCTTTTAGTTACATTTAATAAGAACTCCATAGAATATTTTTTTTCTTACACAGTTTCATCTCCTATCCTGTAGCAGAGGCTGTCCTAAAGCACTGTTTTATTCATTTTTTTAGACAAATCTAGAAGTCGATCCTGGTTCAAATCCCAAAGGCAAGGACCAAGGGTTAGCACGGTAGCTATTTGCATGATGGTAACCATCACGTGTCCTTGGTGGTGGGACATTCCGTTTGAGACTGATAACACTGGCAGAGCCTGGGCATGGACAAGAAGAGACAACTCCCTAGGCAGGGGCTGTGAATCACGATGTCTCACAGCATGGACTTGCAGAAAGCTGGAGAATGGACTTCCTGAATTTTAGCAGTCCGATTCCTCTCATATTTAAGCCAAGAAACACTGCCTGAATTATGACATGTCTAGGCAGATTCTGGAAGAAAATGTCCATAGGTATTTAGGTCCCTGCAGGTTAAGAAGGAGTTGGCTACCAAACTCCCTTGGAGAACCTGGACCAATAAAGTCCACTCATTTTTTTAAAGCACTCTACTGTTAGGTTTCTGTATTTAGCCACTTCTCTTTCAGCCTCGTAAGGAGGAGTCAAAAGCACTATTTTCATGATTAAAAACAGCAGCCCTCTTCAAAATCATCGCAATTCCTTCATCAGCTGAGTGATAATGCCACCTCATCGTTCTCAGGCATTTGGCTCATCTCTGTTCTGCATTGTCATGTAGGATACATATTCCTGGTCTCATAAAAGACGAATAAATTTGTCTGTAGAAAGCATCTGAAATATCCCAAGTGGGAAGATAATTTGTTTGCTTTTTAACAAAGCTTCCCAGAAGTTTTTACAAAGACTAAATTTATTATTCTAATTTTTATGGAGCTATTTATCAACGTGGTGATCAACAGTAATAGAAGCTAAGAATGGTCGCTGGGAAGAAATGAAGTCAAGGCTTTCTGTTCTGCTTACCACCATGCAATCATATAAACCCCACAGAGATACTGGCTCGGTATTATCCTGCAAGGATAAAGCATTGCAGCATTCACCGAGGAAGTAAATGAGAGCTCAGTGGCACAGCGGGTTGGCTGAGGGGAGGAGATCCAGGGCAGGGCAGCCAGGTAAGGCGGCTGTGCAAGCAACAGCGAGGATGGCGCGAGATGAGGGCACCAGGAGCAGTGTTAAGGGGGTGTGAAGAGCAGCTTGAAGCCAAAGTGGCTGAGGATTCACTGGATCCATCTGAAAGGAAAACAAAAAAAATAATAAAAAAAATCATAGATCACTAGGCTGGAAAAAATACCTCCATGAGCACTCTGCCGGGCATAACAGTGGGGCAGCGACTGGGGAGCTCAGGGAAGAGAAAGTTCTACAAGCCAAGATGAGACATAAGAGCATGAGAGAAGTCTGCCCCTGCTGTGTGCACAGAGCAAAAAAAAGCTTCCCGATAGTCACTTTAGTGGCAG